GGCGAGCAGTGCAGATGGGATATCACAAGTCATACTGTCAGGATATATCTCGTATCCAAATACCTTATCTACACGTACTCTTTGATCACTTTTTTATAATTTACTTTTTGCTTCACTTTTAACAGTTATTTTATTCACAGTAAATTTTCACATTTAATGCAATTTGTGAATTAAGCAATAATATTCAGTCATCATTTATAAATGACAGACAGTAGAAAAATTTTTAGAAATTTTCATTTTAATGCAAATTAAAATTTTGGAAGTTTGCGTAAAAAATTATTAAGTTTTAGGACAAAATATTAAAAAAAGAACAAATAAAGGAATTACTACGAATCGTGTTTATTACAGTTCAATGTAGTAATCAGAATTAAATCTAAGTCTAAGCCAAACTTTGTTTTAATTCTTTTTTACTGTATTTTATGTATTAGTATTATTATTATTATTATTATTATTATTATTATTATTATTATTATTATCACTTTTTCAACTGCATCCATACTTTTGAAGTAATTATTTTTTATCTACTATTTTATATCCAATTTATCCACCAGAGATTAGTTTGTAATTTGACTTACAAAATAGAATTTTTTTACTTTATGCTTTTAGAAATTATATTAAGTAAATATGACGTAAGCAATTACAATTATTATTACGTAACTTTTTTCCTTAACAAATTGTATGAGATTTACAGTGATATTTGCAGCAGTAGCAGGTGTTGTAATTGCTCATGACTGGAATGGAAGGGATGAATTCGAAGATAGTATTGCTGAAAAAGTAGCAAAACTTGGATATATTGCCTTTGCATACGATATATATGGTAATGTTTGAATGATTCAGTTTCTGTATCGCTACAGTATGCATTAGATTCAAAATGTTGCTTACATTAAAATTATATGCAACGTTTGTCACTTTGTTATGATTATTTAGCATGCTAACAAATAAAATAGTTTAATATAAAACCATACTATTTTATTTTGCATTTTTAAAAATTATAATATTTGTTATCAAAATCTGATAATACTAAATGGAGGAAGATTGAAGGCGAGAAAGGAAGAGGTCCAGACC